GTACGGAGTCTCCCGTTCAGCTGTTAAGCCCAGCTCCTGTTGTCACAAGCCTGGGAAAGCACGGGGACAACTGGGATGGATAAAAACCTCCAAACCTAATAAAAAAAAAAGAGAAAAGGGCGGGAGCGTGGGGGCCAGGCAGCTAGGGAAAGCCGGTTCCCGCGGCTAGGATGGATTTCAGCGCCGGCTGGGCCCTGAGCACAGCTTCTGCCAGCTGGGGGGTGAGGGCGGAGGGCAGCAGGGAGAAAGCACCACGGTCGCCCTGCGTGGGGAACGGGAAGCCCAGCCACGAAGGTGCAACCAGCCAGGTTCGGGGGCTCGCGGCCTCCAGGTCTGTGCAAGGGTCAGCCTTGCTCGCTCCGAGCGTGCATGCACGCACGTGCACCCTTCTCGCCACGAGCATGCCCGTGCCCCGGTGCAATCCGACAGAGGTGCTGCGAGAGCACTGATGGCGAGATCGCTGCCCACCCCGTCCTTTTAAACGTGCAGGGCTAGTCCCCTCCCTTTGCAACGACAACCTGAACGGTGCTCAGCAGCTCGTTCCCAAAGTTCACCAACCACAGGCTTCTCACCATTGGAGGCTTTTCAAGTGGTTTGCATTAAATCTTGTATGACATTTTTTAAATGAACTCTGTGAAGGATCAGTCAACCTGAAAGTGTCTTATATGTATTTCCCAGAACGACTGAACAACAGGTTCTCTTTCTGAGCCCTTTTTAAAAATAATAAAAAAAAAAAAAAAGTTACCATCATTTTAATGTGGCAAAAATAGAGGCTTATTTTCTATGGGGCAGATCAAGTCGCTCCTGGCTCTCATTAATGATCAGCAGCTTTAACGGGGGCAATTACAAACCAAGACTGTGGTTTTGGGGGGGGGTGGCATTTAAGCTGGGGGTTCAGGGGAGAGTTGGGATTGCTCTAATCTTAGTGTGAAGTCAGCAGAGCATGAAAGACTATTTCACCATCCTGTATCAATAGAGGGCTCTGAAATGGCTGTGCGGGGACCGTCACAAGGCAGACCTTGGGTCTGACCCCGAGCCCCCTGAAACCACAAGCAAAGCTCCCGTTGGCTTCAGTAGTGCAGGAACAGGTCCAGAAAGAGCCAAGAATTCAAAATACAGCGTGAGCCTCAAGCAGGGGAATTCCCTCGCCGAAGCTGCAATGTAACAGCTTCCCCTTTTTTATGTATTTGAGCTTGATTTGGTCTGATAGGAATGTAAAGGGTTCAAGACGCCCAGGCCCTAACTGCAGCACTTTCAAGACTTAATAAACATTTCCCTCCCTTGGCCTGACTCCCATTTGTTTTGTATTTCTAAAACTTATTACTATGGTGCCTTAACGCACAAAGGAACAAAACCAATAATATGGGACAATCTGAGCCGGGTCTTTCATAACTGCTTTTCCTGCCAAAAGCCTGTTGTCTCCTTCATTTCCATGTCTAAAACTCGATTAATAGGTAAATCCAAACACTGCACAACAAATCTAAAACGACTCGGCTAAGCTACACACAGCACCACAATGCAAAATAAGATATTCTCCTCGAGAAATGCCCAGGCTGGGTTGGACATCAAACTGTTGGATTTCAGTAGCTTGCGTCAGCTTTATCCCCGCAGAGTGAAGAAATGCAAGTGTGATCTAGCTACAAGGAAGAAGTGGATGTCCATGTTTCTTAATGAACATTTCCCTGCCAAACCAGGGCAATTAGGTTTTATTGTATCCCCAGATTAGCTGTCACTTTCCTTTCCGGAAGGGGCAATCAGTGAAAGTTCATTAGAGACAGTGCTGGAGCTGGGAGGAGCTGAGTATTTGAACAAGAGGAGTGAGAGCAAATAAGCAGGCTTAACCTGGGTGGGGGGTTGGCTTCCAGCTCGCTGGGTGCAGCATGCAGCAACCAGAGCTCGGCATGTGTTTCCTGATAAGACAATTACCAATGATGAAAAAAAAAAACCCTGATCTATACCCCAGCACTTATTCTTCTTACAAACTGGATCTATTTTCTCCATCCTTTGCAATGGCTGCAGAAATCAGCCTACCTTCCTGGATCAGACCCTGAAGTCCACCTCTGGACTGGACCGCTGGAGGGTTCAGACAATGGCTTGGGTCTCCTGACATCGGTTTCCCTGCTAGTCAGGTCATTTTGTCTGGATCCAGGCGGCCTGAGAAACATTCCCCCGCCAGCTAGCAGCGAGTTGCCATCCGATCTCTAAAGGACTGGTTATAATCTGCCACAAACATTGAGTGGAAGCAAACAAAAGGAGTATCTAGTATTACAGCAAGACACGATGCTGCTTTCTAGTGCTTCCAAAGAGCTGGCACGTACAATCAGCCCATCCGACAGGCTGGATGCTAAATGAACCAATCCGTCCCAACAGCTGACAAAGAAAAGGCCTGGCTCAAACTTCCAGCAGGACTGTCCTCGGACCACTGCGAAGCTTCCTCCTGAGAAATGAGAAAAATCGAACGCCAGCCCACGTAAATCGGACAAGCGGCGCCAGCTAACGGGCTCGGCCTGTTAGAGGATTTGCTCGGGAGCGCTCCAAAACTGTTGCATTCGAGGCAGGGGGCTTTGGGGCAGAGAGGTTTGCTCGCACTTTGAAAAGGTCATTGACAGAGGGGGTGGGGGGGGTTTCTTCCCCCCCTTCAAAACGTGACGGCTTGAGGTGCAGGTCAGCTCCTTGCATGCAGGATGCACATGCCCATCTCAACCTTAAACCCACCGCTTGTCGCTCTGAAACGCTGGCCCGTTCACCCAGGGTTGTGGAGGCTGCCTGGTAGCATCCGGACTTTTTCCCCCTTTTCATTTTTCATGGGAGGGGGCAGCACGGTTCGGCCTTCTTT